AATTCTATCATAATATCTTTGCATCACACAACGAATAAAAGTACATATAAATTCAGTGGTGATAATTGTACCATACTCAGTGAAATAACTATGTTAAAGTGCACAGATTTAGGTACACGGAAACTTTATCATTACCAAAGCGCTCTCTCTCTCTCTCTCTCTCTGAAAACTTTATCATTACCAAAGCTATCTCTCTCTCTCTCTGTCTACCTCTCTCTCTCAGTCACTCTCACTCTTCATGAAGTGATCATCAAATTCTTCATTGATTGCATTACATTAGTTTCATAATGATAGTTAGGTTCCATATCCTAGCAAGCCAGTGAAATAGTTGGAGAGGGACACACACACACCCTCCCGAACACAGCTATTGAAATTTTAGCTGCACCAACTTCAGTTAACAATTGATTAAAAAATTTTTCCCTTACAAATTCTGGATGGATCCATTCAAAGTGTTCTCAATACACCATCATAACAGCTATGCTGAATATCAGACAATGAAACAAAATACCTTATTCCAAGTAAGAAACACCAGTGATGAACTGTTTTGAAGTAATTAAACATCACATTTCTACAAATTGGTCTCCTACCAATATTTTTATCCAACCACTGGGACTCGCTCTTTTAAATATATTCTCTGAGTTTTTTTTTTCTTGAGAAGTCTAACTTTTGTCCTTCTAATCCTTATAGAGAAAGGTGGGAGGAGTTCTTTTAGCCTAGTGGGCTGAATTCAGTTTCATTGAAGCTTTCGGTGGCTACTTTAGAGTAGCCGTACATCCTCATTTAGGGAGGACTGTTCTCTGTTTGAAGAGCTGCCCTTCCATTGGGAGGTGAGCATATTCCTTTTTGGTGACATGATAACCTTACCACCACCACCCCAGTGAATTTTCCTGGCTGATCAGGGATTTGAACCCAAGACTCTGTGTCTGATACTTAGTGCGCTACATGATATGTACCGTCTATCTAGTAATACCCTCGCTTGACCAATAAAACAGGTTACACATGGGGTCCTACAGAACCCTTCATCAGGCTGCTGTTACTTCGGAGTGGTGGAGGGGGCTGGAAATCCCACAAATCATCTTGCTCAAAAGTTGAGGTGAAGTTTTTGCAACTAATAAATTTATGAATATAGCTTTGAAGAGGTAACCATGTTAGTCTGTGGAACCATATGAGACAACGACAAAACAAAAAGAAAAACAAAACATTCCGAGAGACAAACATTTGTGGCACCTTATAGATTAACGACTATATTTTAAAATGAGCTTCCATCGATCAAGTCTACTTCCTCAGACATATGACTGAGAATATATATATGGCTATCATATTTATTGGGGTGGTGGAGGGGGGAAATCCCCCAAATCATCTTGCTCAAAAGTTGAGGTGAAGCTTTTGCAACTAATGAATTTATGAATATAGCTTTGAACAGGTAACCATGTTAGTCTGTGAAACCATATGAGACGACACAAAACAAAAAGAAAAACAAAACATTCCAAGAGACAAACATTTGTGACACCTTATAGATTAACGACTATATTTTAAAATGAGCTTCCATCGATCAAGTCTACTTCCTCAGACATATGACTGAGAATATATATATGGCTATCATATTTATGCATGATCCCATGAAGAGGTGGGGATACAAATAAGGAGCAAAATTTGTTCTAGTCGATACAGTGGACCCTCGACTTACAGACGGCTCGACTTACAGACTTTTCGAGTTGCAGACTTCTCTGGCCGCAAAATTTAGATTTGACTTGCAGCTGGAGAATCGACTTACAGACCAGAAAAGAACCAAAATGGAACAAAAATAGAATAAAAACTGCCAGTTATGGGATTAATCGGTTTTCAATGCATTGTAGGTCAATGGAGATTCGACCTACAGACTTTTCGACTTGCAGCCATCGTTCCAATACAGATTAATTCCGTAAGTAGAGGCCTAGTCGATAGTCCTATTCTTTTCTAACAAACTGCTGTCACTTTGTATCCTCACCTGGTCATGAAGGCATGCATAAATATGACAGCCATATAATCTCACTCTCGTGTCCGAGGAAGTGAACTTGATCCATGAAGGCTACAGTAAAACACTGTATGTAGTAAGCCTTGAAGATGCCACAATGCTCTTATTGTTGTTGCTGCTGCGATGTTCTGAATTTATGAAGTTAGATCTTTGTATGTAGTAGAGACTTCAACGGGTAAGTGTCTTTAATCAGCCCTCTCTCATTCTTAAAATAAAATTTCTTGGTGGAGGGGGGGGTCATTGTGTAAGAAAAGCTAATAGTTACTGCTCACAGTTAAGCCTAGGAAGAGGTGCTTCCGCTTTTCAGAACTGGGAAACCAGCAAGTGGTCCTGCCATGTAGAAGGGGAGCGTGGCCATGTGGAGGCTGGATTGGGACTCTAAAATGGCTTGCATTTGACCCAAGGCCGGAAGTTCCTCACCTCTACCTGAAGATTATAGTGGCACTCTTTCTTCTACCCTATGCTTGAACTTCTGATCTCCTTTTGTAAAGAAGGGGAAAAAATGGTAGTTTCTATTTCTCTGTACTCTGTACGATCCTTTTGTTTTTTGTTTTTTACAGATCATGCAATATAGCAGACAAACACATGTGCTCCAGTAAACCTTTCCTAGTATTTTGGTACATTTGTTTGCCCACCCACCTCCCTCACTTCCCGATCCTGAGCTTGTTGTTTCTTTATATGTACACAAGCAAAAAGTTGGGTCAGCAGTACATCATTGATAGACTTTGCCCTTCTCCCTCTCCGAATTATTTTTTTCGGGCACCCTTACTTGCTTCCGCTATGGAAAGTTGTCTGAGAAAGGAATATGTTCGTGCGTGTAGCATTGTGCCTGTGCATGTATGTATTAATGGGCTGACCTAAATGAATAGTCAACAAATGAGAAGGTCAGTGATTTTTGTGGGCAGTCTTCCACTCGGATTGCCTAACGCTGTTACCGTGTTTTCAAAGCGGAATTTGGAATTTCCCTCACCAGTTCTTTTCCCAGAAGTCAGCTGATTTCTCTGAAGAAAAAAAAATACCACCCAGTTTTGAGAGGAGCCCATCCTTCCTCATCTTACAAATTAGGGCCTGGCCAAAAAATTGAGATTGCACAATTACTAGATGACTTGAACATTAGAGTTTCTCTTTTGGATATATTTTTAGGGGCTTAGCAGAGGACAGGATGCAACTTTTCAAACAGCAGAGGGCGACAGAGTTCTTAATTAGATGGTATTCTCACTGTGGAAATGTAGGTACAATATGTGTATGTACTCTTGAAAGATATGAAGAGGGAGACAGAAGAGAGAGAGAGAGGAAGAGAGAAGCAGTTGCCGAAACCAGCAGTAAAAGGTAAAACGTCTCCCAGAATCTGAAAGAGGGCTGTCTGGGTGTCAGATTTTGGTTTAAATGTTTCCTGATGCAAGGTTGCTTCCACTGGCATGAAACCTTATGACTTCCCTCAACCTAAGAGTTCACAACACTGCTTTTGGGCAGCAGGGTGCTTGTCTTGTAGACAGTGGCAGGTAATTCTACCGTGCTTAAGTTTTCTTGCCTCAGTTCCTTTCTTGATGCTCTTTGTGACGCTAAGGAATTCTCTGCTACTTTGTGGACATGTGGACATCTGCGTCACCTAATGTAATGCTCTTGTCTTGCAGGGACTGATTTTTCTTTGCCTACTGTGAGCTGGGTTTTTCATGCCATTGTCCTGCTCACCCAAACCAGGCCTCCTTCAGAGGAAGAAACAAACCACCTGTCTGTTTTGAGGGAGCTGTTGTTTTGAGGGAGAAGCTGAGATGAAGCTCTTGCAGACGTGGTAAGTTATTTGCCACAGGGAGGAAAGTGGAGCTCATAACATGGGTTTCAGCAACTAAACACTTCTGCTGGGGATGGTCCCACTCCAAGAGGGAAGTGCGGGTGGCGGGCAAAGGCACATACTACCCCTCTGCTGCCAATGGCTCACTGCCCAAGTAATTTGGCTCACTTGTAGCTCCTCTTTTGTCTCTGGGTAACGGTGAAGGTGGTTGGCTGGAAAGCTCTGCGGTTCAGGTATTTGACTGTGGAGCCCAAGGCTGGGAGTTCAATTCCCCACGATGCCTCCTGTGAGCAGAGCTAACTCTGTGTGGCCTTGGGCAAGCCGCACAGTCCCAGGGTGCCCCCAGAAGAAGGGAAGGGTAAAACCACTGCTGAGTACGTCCTACCTCAAAAACTCTGGAAAAGGGTCGCCATAAGTCAGAACTGACTTGACGGAACAGGGATGTGAGGGTAGCTAGGGCCTACCAAAGGTCTGCATCCGGTCAAGTCCCTCACTTGCTGTGCTCGAACACTGGAGGTATGCCACGTTTTCCCGGTCATGGATTGTTTATGAACAAAAACTGTCCCCATAGGGTGGTCTGCACGGTCTCTTCTTTAAGGGTGAGGCAGGAAGCTGACACAACTCTTCTAGCCGTTTCAGCAAAGGCAAAATGGTTTTTGAATATGGAACCAGCAGCCAACTCCAATTTGTCCTTCCTCTCTAGGAGCTGCATCGCTTGCTTCCTCCTGGCCTATACTGAAGCAGCCTCCATGTACGGAGAGATCCTGTCTCCCAACTACCCCCAGCCATATCCCAACGATGCTCTGGAATCCTGGGAAATAAGTGTTCCTCCTGGCTATGGAATCCGCCTCTATTTCACCCACCTGGATATAGAACCATCTCAAGGCTGCGAGTATGACTTTGTGAAGGTACAAAGCCACCACATCCCCTGGGTCAGGGCAGGGGCTAGAAGGAGGTTATCTGGACATTAGCCCAGTTGGCTGGGCTAAAATTTCATCACCACAACAACGTGCACAGGAAAGCAACAGGGAAGTGGTGTGTTTGCAGGTTATGAGTGCTGTTCTTCTTGTTGCATCCAAAAGTCTAGAGATGTCTGACTCTCTAAAAGAGTTTAACATTGCTGTCCTTGTTGTACCCATCATCTTAATTTCTCCACAATGTGTCAAACTGGTGGCTGGAAGTCAAGATGTTGAGCTGCAGCTGCTGTGTAACCAGCAGTTTAAAATAAAGCCCAGGTAAAGGGTGAGAAGCAACCTCAAGTGTGGAAGGATCTGTGGTTGGCGCTGTGAGGAGGTGATGATTTTCTTTTAAAGTTACAAGAATGGGTAGGAGACAGGGTCCAAGGGTGGAAAGCCCCAGGCTGCTGAGACTCCACTAGCACCTCAAAGGTGTCAAGGTGTAGTTATTAGCACAGCCTTACAGTAGTAAAGCTGACTCTGCCTGCTCTTTATTAATGAAGTTCCCTTTCTTAGGTAAAGGTTCCCCTTGACATTTAGTCCAGTTGTGTCTGACTCTAGGGGGCGGTGCTCATCCCCATTTCCAAGCAGTAGAGCCAGTGTTTGTCTGTAGACAGTTTCCGTGGTCACATGGCCAGCACGAATAGACACAGAATGCCATTACCTTCCCACCGAGGTAGTACCTATTTCTCTACTGACATTTACATGCTTTCAGACTGCTAGGTTGGTTCTTACTCATCCATTGAAGAAGGTCTGAGGGTCTCTATGGAGTAACTGCATGCTCCATTCAGGCATGGCCATGTCACCTGAGTGTGCAGGTTCTTACTGCATGCTCCATTGAGGCATGGCCATGTCACCTGAGTGTGCAGGAGTGGTGCTAGCTGGATCCAGATTAATTAATTAATTTAATTAATTAGATTTATATCCCACCCATCGATTGATTAATTAGTTAATTAATTTGCTTTATTTCCTGCCCATCTGGTATATTCTACCACTCTGGGCAGCTAACAATAAACGATTAAGAAATTCATTTTCTCTGTCTCTGTGTTGAATCATCCAGTTCTACCACACTGGGCGGCTAACAATAAATGATTAAGAAATTCCTTTTCTCTGTCTCTGTGTTGAATCATCCAGGTGTAAAATTATCAGGCACTCAAAATCAACACATTTCAGCAACAGGGACCAAGTATACTACAGTATTGTGTGTCTGCCCCTTTCAGGTCCACTCTGGTGACAACATTGAGGGTCAGCTCTGTGGACGGAAGAAAAACTGGGCGGCTAACAATAAATGATTAAGAAATTCCTTTTCTCTGTCTCTGTGTTGAATCATCCAGGTGTAAAATTATCAGGCACTCAAAATCAACACATTTCAGCAACAGGGACCAAGTATACTACAGTATTGTGTGTCTGCCCCTTTCAGGTCCACTCTGGTGACAACATTGAGGGTCAGCTCTGTGGACGGAAGAAAAGCCGCAAGCCTGGATCTCACATTGTGGAGGAATTCTATGTCCCATACAACACTTTGACTGTCACATTTCAGTCTGACTTTTCCAATGAAGAAAGATTCACCGGGTTTGCGGCTTACTACACTGCAGTGGGTAAGGCCACCTTTTCTTTACGTTGTACTTGTAGAGATGTGATTCCTTCCAGATGTGCCTCAGAAATGGACAGCTACGCTCCCTCCCTTTCATATCTGACTTTAGTCAGCAAGAAGGAAAGATTCTCTGTATGCTCCACTTTTGGATACATTTAAGACTGACTTGCAAATGAGGACAGTCTATAGAGAGCTATTGTTACAATTAATTTTTAATACATTGAATAGCCAGGCCATCATCGCAGGTCAAGTCTATGAGCATATACTTTTGGTCCCAAAAATGCACACACATTCTCTCCCAAAATTGGTGTAGTCCACTGAGTCAGGAATTGCCCAGAAAAACAGGGGGAAGACAGCTCATGACTTATAGGAATACACATTCTCTCCCAAAATTGGTGTATTCCATTGTCTCGTACATTTGTCTGTTTATCCAGGTTGTAGAGTCAGGAATTGCCCAGTAAAACAGGGGGAAGACAGCTCATGACTTATTACTCAAATTGATTATGTTGGAGCCTCACCTCATCCCTGACTCAGTGGGTCTCAGATATTATTCCAGCTGCAAAGAGTTGAGTTACTCTCATCTGTCTCCTCTCCTACTACGGTACTTCTTCTTCTTCTAATGACCCAACTGCACACAAATTCAGCACATGGAAGGGAGTGATGCAGCCATTCTCCTGTTTCTGCTTGGAGAATAGATTGATATGTGTGTCTTGACTCTGGAAGAAGGGAAAGTCTCTCCCAAGTGAGGGAAATATCATAACTGAAATTTCCCAAAGAACAAATGACACGGGAGGTTGAAGTAGCCAAATATTTCAGATTATACAGAACATACATTCTGGAAGCGACCTCATGTCTTTCATCTTAATAAAGTACTGCATGATCGATATCACAAACTGATGAAAGAAACCCCAGGTTCACATGCCAAGAAGTTTCTATGCACCTTCAATTTGGTACACAGGGCACACTAGCTGTAGGTGCAGGTCCTGCCCTTCTTCCTCTCCCTCTCCCACCCCATTGATCTGTTCCTCTGTAAGAAACATGTATTTCATTTAATACATTTGATTTTAAAGGGTGCTTTCATTAGCGCATGAGCAGTGGTAGTGATCTGGTCAGTGCTGTATTGCGGAACTATGCCCATCTCTCCTACATAAATACCATTTATTCCTTCTGAGACACCCAAAAGTGCTACAGTTTGGCTCTCCTTGCCTACGAGGAGTTTGCTTGTCCTCTGGAGTGGAGTCAGGGTCTTGAACTGAACATAGGATGGGCTGAAGGGGAATTGAGTGATGGCTTGCTGATGTCCTGGCCACAGACTTCTTTGTTCTGGATCTCGTAAGGGACTATGGTATCTTTAAGTGCCTGGGTGCAGGGCTCTGCCCGCTAAAAGAAAACAAGCAGAAGGTTATAGGATGTGGCTGGACTTACTTGTAGCCAGGTGCCGAAGAGTTTCATGACTGCAGCAACAAAGAAGGCTAGCTAGGATTCTACCAAAAATGAAGCACCTCCTCTTTCATTACTTGAGTGCCCCCCTTCCCCATTTTGTCCTTTTCTTTTTCTCCTTAGTCTTCCATAGGAATCCTTACTGACGTCTTTCTTCATTGCTTGCAGACGTGAATGAGTGCACAGATTTTGTGGAAGCGGTCTGCAGTCATTACTGCAACAACTACATCGGTGGCTATTTTTGCTCCTGCCCTTCCGAATATTTCTTGCATGAGGATCAGAGGACATGCGGAGGTAAGAGGGCCTGGCCGGTGTGACCCCAGGAATAAGAATCTTCACCTACACTTCAAATTGCTGAGCAGGGAAGAACCTTCAGTAGTCTCCATTACAAATGTGTAAACCCCTAGAAACAGATGAATTGGGGGGGGGAAGTACACTTGACCTCCAAGTATCTGGAAAAATAAACCAAAAACTGCACAATTAAGAAATGTAATTCAACCCTATACATTAGGAATGGAAGACCGGCTAAGCCATTAATGACTGGGGATCTGAGCAAACATTCACTTTCTGCAGAAAGTAGCCATAGGTGTGCAGATGTTACCCCTGTAATCATGAGGGCCCTCCTTGGCATCCTACATTTCTTATTTATTCTAATAGACAAATGCAATGTACTGTACAGGCATGCACCATGCAGCTTTGCCTGCTGCCTTGCGAAAGTTACTGCAGACACTCAGAGTGGCTGATATGTGCTGCATTGTTTCACTCTCAGTATGTCTAAACTTGGACCCCTAGTTTGTTATCCTCTCAGATGAGAATCATAAATCAGATTCTAATCTTGGTTTATAATTCCCGCTTAGTGGGAAATCTCTGTTCAGAGTTCATGATAAACAAACCACAGATGGAGGCTTCTTGGTTTGTTTAGCCACTCCCATAGGGACAGGAGGAAGCCGAAGCGATCAAGCAGCATCCACGAGCACTATTGCTCATTCCTAAAGAAGTTGTGTCCAGATTAGCCCAATGTGATATGCAGCCTGGGGGAAACAACACTGGAGATTCGGAACTTAGATTCAAGTCCTTGAATTTTAAGAAAATGATGATAAAATTGGGGTAAAATTAAGTCATAGGCACACAGAATGCTCATCTGGGCATGGAATTTTGGTAGTGATTCTGCCATGTTGAATTAAGCTATGATTCAGATAGACGTGTTCTTAATCTTAACACTGCATATTTCTTTCCTGTTCTTACTTAATTTTTCTAAAAATTAATATTCATAGAGCACAACAAATCAATTTATCCTTAGACACCACAAACCAAATACAGAGGGAAAGGAACTTGATGGTGTCATTTAAACTTCTCAGAATATAGGATTAAACTCAACCCTGGAGCAATAAAAGTTTTAAGTTTGGAATGTAACACTATGACATTTTTTGCAGGAAAACCTCATAATAGCAATAATGTACACTCCCATGCAGTGGTAAAAATGTACTAGACAATTTCATTGATTTTCATGTTATCTCAAAATATTAATGTTATCTACTTAAAACTTTCTAAGAAGAGGGCCTTAAAGAAGGGGCAAAAAATGAAGGTAGGTGGGAAGCGCTGTCTCTGACAGAAGATTATCTGCTAGCATTGTTACGGATTTCTTGATCTTCTCTCTTCCTTGAACTCTAGTGAACTGCTCTGGAAATGTCTTTACTGAACTGTCTGGTGAGATCAGCAGCCCCAACTACCCCAGCCTATACCCTGAGAACTCACACTGTGATTACCGTGTGATCTTGGAGCCAGGGTACCGCGTGGTTCTGACCATCGATGGGAAGAAGGACTTCGACATAGAGCCAGCGGACTCACAAGGAAACTGTCAGGATGCCTTGAGAGTAAGGGGCTGCAGAGGCAGGAGGGCTCCTGGAAGTTTGGGTCTCTTCTTTCCCCCTTGTTAAGAATGCATTTTAGCCATAAGCCCTAATAAATTGGCTGAAAGGCCCACAGGCAGAACAGGCAGCGACGATGACTGTGGCATCTCTGTGTAGTGTAGGAGCACAGGGGGAAGTATCAGCCTCATTCTCCTGCTTGTCTGCTCCTTGCAGGCATAATTCCAGTGTTATATCCCTGTCTCCACATCGCACTTAGCTGAAACAAGTGTCAGTCAACTGAAAGCAGGACAAAAACCTTATTTTTTTTTCCGGGGGGGGGGGATATTTTGGTTCTGCTTTGCTCCATTTTGTGCCAGCACAGGATGTGTTTGTGTAAACTCCAGCGCCATGTTGGTGTGTGCCGATCTGTGCATTTTGTGGACGTGTGGCCATTTGAGGATGTTTCCTTATGGGTGTGTTTAATCTGGTCATTCTTCATTCCTCAACCCCTTAATGTTGCTGCCATTTCATTTTCTTGGGGAATCAGAAGAGATAACAGTTGTCCCTCCATTCCGCTTTTTAATTTAAAAAAAAAACATAGCACGAAAGTGAAAACTAAAATTAAAAAATTAAAATGTGAAGGTTTGAAAAAGATGGGCATATAAAAGGAAGAGGGTAAGGAAGAAGAAGTGAAAAAGGTGGGGAGAGGGAGGAGAAGATAAGCAGAAGAGGGAGGCAACCTGTGTTAGGAGTGAGACCTCAGGAAGCCATTCCAGATGTTATGTGGACAAGCACATACATGTACCACTCAGTGCAGCCCAGTACATTCAGCAACAAATCCCTTCCCCTTGCGTGGATGCCCACACGGGGTGATCTTTTCAAATCTGCAACTAAAAATTTTCAGAACATCCCAGAGTGACTGGGGACAACACCAAAATGTGGACAAGCCCTTAGTAAGATTAGAGGAAAAATGACTACGATAGGTGAGGGAGCAGGAGTGAGGCGTGCAACTGTCAGTCTGGTCAACTTTATACAGCTTTGCCCTTTCTGACAAGTGCCAATGTCTGAAATAATTGACATGCACCTAGTATATGGTTAAACTTCATTTCAGTAGCCTTTTGAAATAACTTGAACAATGTATTTGTATTGGAGGCTTTTTTTCTGAGCAGTGATTCTATAGACTGGCCCTTTAAGTGTGTCCTTAAATCTCTCTAGCACTTAATTGCCAAATTCACACCAGGCTTGTTCTCTTCCACACCCAGTCCAAGTCATGAATATATTCCCCGTTTTTTGGAGTATTGTATGCCCCCCTTTTTTTCTATATTTGTCTAATTCTTTTATTGGTTGTTCTTATAGATCTTGGCAGGAGACCAACACTTAGGTCCTTACTGTGGCAGTATATTCTCTGGTCCTCCAGAAATCAAGACGAAAAGCAATATTGTGGACATTTTCTTCCAAACAAATGAAGCAACACAAGGCCGAGGCTGGAAACTCCGCTATTTTGGGGACCGTGAGTAGATGTCCCACAGAGGAGGAAGCATATAGGGTACTCAAGGGAGAACTCTGCAAGAGGGAAGTGGGTCACTAGAAAACCTGACATGTGCTTGTAAGGCGGAACTTGTGTTAGACGTCAGGTATAGAAGCAGAACCTTGCAAGCAGAGAGGCAGAGTCGAGTCAACAGAACCTCTTGCTGGCATGAAATGTTACAGAGAACAGTTACTTCTGTTGGGCACATGGATGAATTGTGAATGGCCATTGTGGAGTCAGGAGCTAGGAAATGTAGCCTGCTGCTGGCCAGTGGTTTTGAGTAGATGATAGGTGTGGACGGAGTAATGGACAGCTGGCTGCTTGATTGGCACCAATCCTACTAGAATGGAGAGCAACTAGATCCTTAATCAGAAGTGGATCAACCTCCTGATCTCTTGGGGACTGGGACAATATCCCTCTCTGCCACTATGTACATGATATATAAATACGTGATGGAGAGAAAGAGAGAGAGGATGGGGAGGGAGGTCAAAGGTGGTTACAGAGGAGATAGGACTCTTATCTGAACATCCTGCAGACTGTGGCCTACTCTGAGGAGACAGGAACCCCAGAAGGGCTCAGTTACCTTCACAGAAAGAAGGGGGAAGCATTTTGTAAGTACATGATTACTGGACTTAATTGTGACTTCTGTGGATAGAAATGGGAAGTAAGTGTGTGTGTGTGTGTGTGTGTGTGTGTGTGTGTGTGTGTGTGAGAGAGAGAGAGAGAGAGAGAGAGAGAGAGAGAGAGAGAGGGAAGAACTCGCCTGAAATCCTCCTCTTTTTTTTACAAGCCATGCCCTGTCCAAAGACCGTCATTCCCAATGCTGTGCTGGATCCCACAAGAGACCATTATGTCTTTAAGGATTCTGTGACGGTCACTTGTATAGAAGGCTATGAGGTTGTACTGGTAAGTTCCCCCCTACACACACACCAATTAAAGCCATTCTTAAACTATTAAGGGAATCCTCTTGGCACTCTGTTATGCTGAGAGGAGTTTGAAATGTCGTCCTCCAGTTGTTGTTAGACTGCAAATCCCAGTGTTTCTCAGATTGGCTATGCTGGTGAAAGCGAACGAGAGTTGCAATCCTGCAACGTCTAGAGGGATTTACTTTAAACAGCCTTCTTAGCTCAGCAACATTGGCTGTTCTAAGTCAGACCTGGGCAAAGTGCGGCCTGAGGGCCACATACGGCCCGCGAGCCGCTCCTGTTCGTCCTGCGAACAGTTTTGAACATCAAAACCATTTATAGCTTTTTGTCTAAAGTCGATCAGTTGCGTATCTTTAACATACTGCAAAAAACCTCTTTAGTATTTGTGAAGATTAACAAGTTTAAAATAAAAACAATCATAACATCACTGTTTCATTTTATTTCTAAGTAAAGTTGGTTCGGCCTCCGAACGCAGTTCAGATTTTTCATATGGCCCTCCCTATAGAAATTAATTGCCCACCCCTGTTCTAAGTACTGAGAAAGCAACATTTCTGCATTTGGAGGACAACAAGTGGGGGACCTGACTGGCAGAAGGCAGACTGGCTGACCAGCTAGCTTGAGACCGTGAGGGACTTATTTCTCAGAGTGAGAACTAGCAGGCCCTCCTCTGTGACAAGTCATCCAGGTTGAGAATCTTCATCCATTATGGTAGCACAAAACTCACCTTCTCATTTCAACCCAATGTCCCAGGCTGGAAGGATTATAGGATGCTCTCTATCAGGTTTTCCCAGCCTGGACTTTCTCTAGTTCTTGTCTCTGGCTAACAGTCCCATAGGCAGAGATAATAGGTTGGCTAGCACCTACTTCACAGAGCCTTCTGCTCTGTCTCCTCACTCTCTGCAGTGCATTTCTACCGCTGAAGTTGTCATAAGAACATAAGAAGAAGAGCCATCTGCTGGATCAGGCCAAGGGCCCATCTAGTCCAGCTTCCTGTATCTCACAGTGGCCCCACCAGATGCCTCTGGGAGGACACAAGACAACCAGATACCTGTCTCCTGATACCCCCTCCCCTGCATCTGGCATTTTGTGGTAGCTTCCTTCTAAGCCTGGAGATGATACATCCCCATCATGGCCGTCTCGTCAGAGCCTGAGGATTGTTTTGCCTCTTCTGGTGCTTGCTTTCCCAGTTTCTACAGCAGTATATTGTCTGTGGCAGCTTTATGCATGGTGCTTGGTCAAGAAGCATGAATGACGGGCTCCAGCCTGCAAGGAGCTTACCAGCCACTCGTCAGGAGTGAAGTAGAGGAAGTGAATGAAGGCAAGGGAAAACCAAGGGGACAAGCAAGAGAGAAGCCAAGGAGAACAAGAGGAAAGTCAGCCACACAAGGGAGTTCCTTGCGGTGGGGGATGAAATGAGCCTGTCTTAGCACATTGCTCCAGTTCCTTAAATTCTTTATTAATAAATAAATAGTTATTTATTTCCCCATCCACCACCTACAAGTGTTAAATAACATTTGACAGCCCTCTAATGCAATGGTTCTTAACCTTGGATAACCCAGATGTTCTTGGCCAGTCCAGCTAGTGGTGAAGGCTTCTGGGAGTTGTAGTCCAAGGCTGGGAGGTGCTGCTCTAGTGCAATATTCATTTGCCAAGCAGTTAATTAATTTGAGTGTCTCTGAATTTTTTGTCCTTTAGCCTCAAGGCAGTCTCACATCGTTCTACTCGAGATGTCAAAGCTATGGCAAGTGGAGCAACTCTGACTACAGATGCGTCCGTAAGTGCTGACCTCCTGTGTTGGTAGACTGTGGTTCAATTGTGGTTCCCTAGTCCATTTTCAAGTTGGTGGGCCTAAGAAGACAATGAAAATAATAGAGCTTAATACTGGAGAGGCAGGAGACTTCCCTGAAGTTGCACCGGCACACTGAAGAGGCAAGCTCCCCTTGGCTCCCATTTGTAAATTGAGAGGCAGCTGGCCTCTTTAGCAGTGCAAGTAGATACAATGGAAACTTCCAGTTGTGCATTTAGAACTCCTCACAAGTTATTGGCTTGCAATGACAGAGCAAGAATGCTTACTTTTGTGTGATAGCTGTAAGGCACGAAAATGTGATGTCCTCTAAAGATGGAGCTACGTAGCTGGAACGATTCCCTTTGCTACAATAAAGCTTAAAAAGTATTATCCGTGGGACTTATTGTGAGATTATACGGGGGAGGGGTTAGTTCAGGGGAGGGGTTAATGCTGTTCTAGGTCTGAACAGATGGTCCCTAAAGGGTCTTGAAAATAAAATATGGACTGGAAAATGATAAGGGATGAAACATATAGGGAGCCAAAATGGAAATCTTTGTTCAGTCGTTGTGGGATACAAGTTCAATAGGTAGCACTCGCAGGCTGAGGGGGTTATGCTAAATTCCATTTTCTCTTTGTCTTTGCAGCTGTGGATTGTGGCATGCCTGATCCCCTTGAAAATGGGAATGTCACTTACCTGTCAGGAGCTGAGGAAACTCGCTATCAAGCTCTTATCCGCTATGAATGCCATAAGCCCTATTACGCGGAAAAGGACAGTGGAAACGGTGTGTGCCACCCTTCGCAACTCCAAGTAGCATCTGATTCAGGGTCTTAAAAAGGCACCATTCTGCTCAGATTATGGTGTCTTTTAAGGACAGAGTGAGGGAGAGGTCCTGCATGCATGCGCTGTGTTTATTATTAAAAGGGCTTTATTTGTATATCATCCCAGTGCATTTAAGTGACCTTTATGCATGCATTTTCACTCACATGACATCCATAGGAATAATACTGTACTGTCATCATTTTTTTTGTGGTTGGCAGATTCATTGTGGAATGTTTTGTGTGTGAGTCTGTGTGTCTCTCTCTGTGTGTTTGCATGCGTACGAGAATATCCTGCTATTTGGATATCTATACTTTGTCCATACTACACAGTAACAGACATGGTGTGCTGTATAGATATAAATAGGTGCATATGTAGTTAGTTGCAGTGTCTATGTCTCTCCAGGGATTTTCCCTGGGACTGCATGGTGTTTTTCTTCCAGATCCCAGCAATCCTCTACACCCTTCTCCTAAAATTCGTGCAAAAGAACCTCCCATGAATTTCAGCTCCTGGGATGATGATTCACCAGTTAAATAAGTGCAGGGAGTCACAAGGGTTCTCTACACAAATTTATCACCCTTAATGACCTTTTTTTTTCAGAACTAGAAATGGGTCCAGAGTGAATTCCAGTTTCATTGTTGGTGTTTTAAAGCATTTCTGGCAGTCTCTAGAGCTCCCAGAGCATGGGGACAGAAAATTCAATTTACACATATTAATGCGCATGTACACACCAAGAGATGCACTGGTGAAGATGCCTGCTCGGCATCCATTCACACCTGTGGCATTGCCTACATATATGTTACATAAGAAAACAGGAAGTCCTTTGCTGGTCAGACCAGAGACATGGAGTATTTAGGAAAATAGTCATTATGGGGACATGATGGGGCCGTAATCTGCCATGCTGTCAGCTCTGTCCTTATTTATGCAAATATGGAATGAAAGTGAACAGAGACTTGTATTCCTTACTATGTTCTTTATTTCCAAAGGGGTTTATCAGTGTTCAGCCAGTGGAGAATGGGTGAACGAAGAAAAGAAAACAGAGCTTCCGGTTTGCACCCCAGGTATAATGCCTGTCTTTTGCTTCTTAACTGTAATTGTTTTGTTTTCTTTATACTATACAGTCATGATTATTTGTCATGGCTTCTCAACAGGTGGGCCTACCTGTATTCTAAAGCCAGCATTTCTTCTGCCAGGAAGGCTTCTTAAGTATCTCAGTAAATTTCATGCAGTTTGAAACCACTGCTTTACAGAACTCTGCCCCCCCTCCCCGTTTGTTTAAACCATCTTATATCCGCACCATTTTAAAGAGGCTTTACCAGAGCCCCCAAACTGCCAAGAGGATGAGGGTGCCATGTTTCAGTGGTCCTTGTTGGCTGCTGTTTTCATCTTGATCCAGTCCATCTTGAGGGACTGGGGCAATGGGGCGCAAGAAGGGGCCAGGGAGGCCTTGAGGTGTAAAGGGAGAGAATGCTGCTCCATCAGATTGCTTCCTCCAAATATGCTGGACTACAGCACTGGCCATGCTGGGATGGGAAGCCCCATAAATCTGGAGGGCACCAGGTCAGAGTTGGGCTGCTCTTCTGCATTAAAGAGGCAGAATCCCAGGACAGGAATGCAAAAACGACACTCAGTCCATTTTACAGGACAACACACACACACAAAAAACTACACCTGCACTTTAGAGACAGTCTTGCCTCTGATAGGGAACTGGTTCAAAGTCATCTCCAGCCCTAAAGCCCTTTGAGAGAACACTATTTCCATTTGTTTTCTGTTTAAGTAAATCTAAATTCTTCAAATTATGTGATCTTGCAAGAATGTTTTCTTCCCATTTTTCACAATTGTCTTCTTGTTGCTGTTCTTTTTTTCTGTGTGTTCTAGTCTGTGGAGTTCCTCATACACCCATCGAAGGAACAGGGCGGATTTTCGGAGGGTGGCATGCTAAGGCAGGGAATTTTCCTTGGCAGATTTATTTTCACCACCCACGAGGTGGTGGAGCTCTTATTTCCGACCGCTGGATACTGACTGCAGCTCATGTGGTGGATGAGAATCCAAACCCGACAGTCTACGCTGGGTTACTCTTTGCCGGCTCAAACGCCCGGAGCAAAGCGAAGCCACTAGTTGTGGAAAAGACAATCATTCATCCCGACTGGATTAGAAGTGGAACAGAACTCCGGACAAATTTTGATAATGACATTGCTTTGTTGAAACTGAAGGAACGTGTGACAATGGGACCCAACATTTCGTTGATCTGCCTGCCCGGTAGATCTTCAGAATATAAGCCAAAGACTGGAACCTTAGGCTTCATAGCTGGCTGGGGCCAGACAGAAAAAAGGGACTCGTCACATAGACTCATGGCAGCCAGTGTCGCCGTGCAGGACATGGACATGTGTCGAAGTCAGAAGCCGGATCTCCCATCAGACTCTTCGTCCTATGTCTTCACAGACAATATGATTTGTGCTGGGGGTGGTGGGAAAGACAGCTGTCATGGGGACAGTGGGGGGGCATATGCCATCCTTGATCCTCATAACGACACACGATACTATGTGGCTGGGCTGGTTTCTTGGGGCCCCAAATGTGGTACTTATGGTCTTTACACTAAAGTGGCAAACTACGTGGATTGGATTGTAGGGGTCATGAGCCAGCATGACTCTCAAGAACCAGAAGAATAGTCACATCCTATCCCAGGGTCTCCTCAAGCACTATTTTGATATTCTGTTCCATCGGTCCTAACCCACAAAAGAGATGTTTGCCGCTCAGGTCCATATTCTTGCGGCCTGCTTTCCATTACTTCCTTTTCTTCTGTCTTCATGAAAAGCAAAACAGCATCCGCCAACTGATTTCTTGCTACCTGTATGATTGGTGAGCATGCCAATTCTTGGATATACTAAATATCTAGCCCCCTGCGATTATAACCAGTTGGAAAAATCCCATAAATTTCAACCTCACCGGATCACGAGGCAGGACAAGCTGGCCAAATGACATGTTACCAGAAGAGCACAGATTAAGAACTAGCACACTCACACTCTCATTGAAATGATGGATGGTTGTTGTCTGCAGCTGTTGTTCATTACAATGGTCCTTGTAACAGAAAGTCTTCCTGTCCAGTTGTGCTCTGTATTACTGTAATTAGCAGGAGGATTGTGGGTAGCTATGCTCTTTGCTTCTCCCTCACACACTAAAAAGCATTGAACTGCTCTTGCCTGCCCCATCGGGACAAAATCCAGTTCTTGTGAATAGGGTTTAATGATGTAATCATTAACTCAAACCCAATGTTTGAGTTTTTTCAGCTGCTTTCCTCTCTTTCTTTCTGCATATCATTCATTTAAAATTCAGAGGATGACTTCCTTTTTGTTGTGACAGTGGCATTAGCCTCGGCCTTGCAACGATAGTGTAGTAACTGAGCAACTGAATCTGAAGGAAGGACCAAGGGGTACTGTCATGGGGAGAGGCACTCAGCCAATGTGTTTACCCTTACAAACTGGAAAGATTCTAGGAGCTGTGCCCTCTAGGAAGGCCGGAAGGCAAGGCAGCCGTGGCTCACCACTCTGGCGATTGGGTCCCAAGCGCAGACCAAGTATGTGGTAGCATCTACTCTTGACTTGAAGACAGACCTTTGCCTCTCCTGTTCCAGATATTTTCATGCCACAGAATTCTGGGCAACTTGTGGCAGTGATGGCACAGACTGGCCAACCTTTAGAAATGTGGAGACAAATAAAACAAGGCTTCTGAAATGGCGAAGCACTAGTGCAAAGGAAGGAGTAGCAAGGAACTAGCCAGGATACTATTGGCAGGTTAGACCATTGCAAGGTCAAGGGCATAAACTGCAAAGGCGAATTGCCGCTAGTTTTAACAGCTGCTGCTTGAATCTCATTAAACATCAGATCTCATAAATGGTGCACAGTGAGGGATATAAGTGGAAATTCATTAACTACTAATAATTTGCCACCGCATTTATGTCATTACACTTACGCTGGTATAACTACCTGTAGGATTCTGGTAAGATACTACATTTGATCTAAGCCAAAAAGAGAAGTGATTTTGACCACAGTGTGTTTAAAAAAGCTACACAAACATCTGTGCGGTAAAAGGGAGGAAAACAAAAATAAAAACAGAATTAACACCCATTAAAAATAATTCTAAAGATTGTACACATAAGATGGAAGAAAATTTTCTTGTCAGTACTGATAATTCAAGTATTCTACAGCAGAGGCACACATAACATGCACATCTGTATTGTTGCATTAGACAGTATTGTTGCTGGTTTTCTGTCTTGGGTATGGATGGGTGCCACAGAAACCTTAAACCTCAGTTTGCTACCACTGAAGTGCAACAGAAAGAAAAAAAACCATTATGAACAGTGGAAAACAGGGTAAGAAGCTAATGTCACAAGTAATGATAACATGCCCTTGGAACAAGCCCTTGTTGCCACCAGAGAATATCCCTAGCTTTCTTTGTGTATTGGAAGCTGTGCTGGTTGTGCAAAGAAATGTAGAGGATGAATTACTTGAAATGATCAACCAATATTCCACACAATACATAATTCTGCTTGATTATATTAAAAAGAGCACCAACTGCAGAATCTTAAATGCTTTCTTGTTCTCATATGTTAGACTTGACTCGAAGGAGCCTTTACTATTTCATATTTTTGTCCGTCTGAGAAAGGGGAAGGAAGGATACTCCCACGTATGCTTTAGACATTTTATGCAACTATCACTTCATGTCCAGAAGTGATAATTGAATAAAAGTGGGTGTTCATGCTAGAGGTGTACAAGCGAACTAGTTAGTTGCCCTACTCCTATTTCAGATCCTACAATCTACTCACCGTTTGCTTCCTAAAGCAGAACTTGGTGTACTTTGGACTGATCCCCACTCAGTAACTTGTCCTTGTTTATCTATTTTAGACTGAAAGCTTGTTCTGTAAAAGGATTGCAATATTCTTTGATAAGGTATATTCCTTGTTCCAAAGTCTCACAGTCCAAATTAGGCAAGGACACTCAGTCCTGTCCATCTCATTCTGTTTACATGGCCCTGCCCAGAATAATGGTTTCCCTTTTTTCTTGCATTTAAACTTGAAACCACTTGTAGCTTTAGTGGGGGACTAGACAAATGCTTGGAGATGAGGCTCATCGGTGATAACTACAGAGATACATCAAGGTACAGTACAGAGCAACGTACCTCTGGATACCTGGTGATGCAGAGTCGTGATTAAGTGGCGTGATGAATATCTACATGTCCTATTTGTAAGCTCTTCAGAGGCTTCCTGATGGACATTTTTGGAAATGGAGGGACTTGACTGTGATGGACCAAGCAATTCTTATTTTCCTCCTCCAGCATCATCCTCAGTCTCGCTTTCTTACCCTTTTCTTTTTTCTTTTTTTCAAGCGTTGACCAAAAAGGAAAACCCCCAACAGATTTGTTTTCACTTGTTCCTACACCTTTGGTTCACAGATATTTTGCCACTGCACAGTGTGAAATCTGAAGCCCAGTCTGGAATCTGAAGTCTTTAGATTTAAAACTTTCATTGGCTGGAATCCTATTGGTTTTAGCATAATGTTTGAGCAACCTGCCATGGCTAATGGGAGCTAATTAAGAAAGCACAGGAGCACATCTTGGTGTCATGCCTGGTGATGCATCGAGTCGTACAATCAAGATACCCCCACCCAATCGTCCTAATTAGCTTCAATTAGCCACAGCAAGCTACATGAACCTTGCACAAATTCCAATAGGATTCTGGCCACTGATATATTTTTTTAAAGCATAGTCCTTGATCCCTCATGATAGATATTATTTATTAGCTTCATATATACCTCCCAAGTTTCTTCCCATGAGCTCAAGCTGGACTGTATCCTTTTCATCATCCTTACTTTAACCAGTGGTGGGATTCAAATAAATTAACAACAGGTTCTATGTCCTAATGACAAATAAGTAAGTAAGTAAGTAAGTAAATAAATAAATAAATGCACAGTGGGATCCGATGAGGGTTTCTTTCACAGTGGTCTCCCAACTGCCTAGCATCAGAAGTACTTCTCACATGATTAAGACATCTGGATAAGTGTATCTGTTTGGGCATACCGCTGCTGTTACCCTCACTGTGGGCATGTGCCAAACACACACACACACACACACACACACACACCTCACAGTAGGTGCTTATGACGAAGTTTGACAGAGAACTGACACATCTCTCCTTCCCTTTACCTCCTATTTCGCCCTATAGCTCACCAGCAAAAATTGCTTCCCTCCCCTTTCCTGCTCCTGAAATGACCGATAGCCCTGTTTATTGTTACCTGGAGGCCGCTTTTGCACAGGGTCAGGATGGGAAAAGCTAATAAAGAGCACAAAAGTTCATCTCCCTTCCCACCACCAAACGCACAAAGAGTATGGATCAAAATAACTGTTTCCTATTCATTGGAGAGGGCAGCTCTGGTTTACTTCAGCCTCCAGCATACACCCAGGATGCAGGGGTAAATCTGAACGTGCAGATACTCAACATGGCAATCTTCCTAAGCTGGGTCCCAAAGCGAGTCCCATAGTGCCCACAGCTGTATTGAACCATGCCAACAAACAGGGGCTAGCAATTTTCGTTTCCACCAGGGACAGGTATTTTGTCAAGTTTATGGGTCTTAACTGTCAATTCCAGACCAGCCCATCTCCAAATGCTTCATATTATTATTATTACAGGAGGGAATCACTCGCAACAATATGTCGTTGTTAGAAATATGGATTTCGCCACCACCAGCTACTGTGAGGATTGCAGCTAAATTCAGGAAACAAACAGGGGGTGTTGCTTTGGGTTGGAGAAGATCTGTTGGAGCTGCTTTCCTGGGGAAGTCAAGAAGATAACTATTTATCCTGCCCTGTGCCTGCCAGGCGGTTTACAGAATTTCAATAGAACTCGGGGTGTTCCCCCAGAAAGAACTCCGGATTCATCATATGGAAGTTAAAGTCGCTTTGACTCACTCCAAAAACTCTTTCCACCCCCCCACCCCCCGTAATCTTCCGGTCTATAAATGATATTTGATCTATGCACAACCCGGATCTCTCCGTATTTACACAGGA